ATGGGGCTAAGGTGACCTAACACAACTCCTGCGGAAGACAGGCTGGGTGACCAACATCGCAGGCAGATGGTGCAGGAAGAGGAAGCTGAGACACAGATAGCAATCAGATATTGAGGGGGGCGAGGAGTGTCAAACTGGATTTTAGCTGCATGTGGGGAACAACTGTAATCCCAGCACTCTGGGAGGCTGAGGCAGGAGGATCGAAAATTCAAGACCACCCTGGGCAATTTATGGGCTTGGCAAGATTTTGTCTCAAAATACACACAAGGTCTAAGGATGTAGTCCAACATGAAGATTGTGGGTTCAGACCCCAGTACTGAAGCAGGGGGAAAGATGCCAGTGGATTTTAGAAACAAGTCCACAGCGGGCCTAGGAGAGACTGTACTACTCACATCCCTCTGGCTGCAGAGAACCTCCGTGGTGACCTGAGGACACCTGGCAGGGAACTGTGGCCACAAGGCTTGGGTCCTGCCAGAGGGATGGAAGAGGAATTCCTGTGTGGAACCTTTGAGAAGACTCTTTAAAAGAGAACAGTGCACCCTTCAGTAACTGGCAGGAGCGGGAATGGGACTGCAGGGCTCCCCACTCATCCTGGACATCCTCTACATGAGCCAGGAAGTGATGTCTGTTGTGTTTAAGCCACCATTTTCCAGTAGCCTGTGGTTGAAAAGAACCTGTGGAATCTGGCCCCTGGAGTCACCTTATCTCCCAGGAAACACTCTCAACTTCCAGGATAGTCTTTGTTTTGGTTTTTTAGACCAGTTTAGGCTGGTTTTGAACTCACTCTATAGCGCAAAATGTCCTTGAACATACAGGGATTCTCTTGCTTCAGCCTCCCAAACGCTTGGATTACAGGCATCCATTATTGCGCCCAATTCTTTGTGTTCTTATAATGAGATTTTTACAAGGAATCTCAGGTCCTGAGTGAGAGTCTCTCTTCTGTAGCTGTAGGAACCACATCCATTCATCCTGACTTCAGTCAGACCAAAGTACCACTGGGCAGTGTGGTCACTGAGAGAAGACAATGTACCATTGTGTCCAGGCCTGTCTCCGGAACAGCTACCATGCTGGGCTGTGTGGCCCTCTCATTCTTGATGTAGCTTTGTCCCTCTGGTGAAGCTGCATAAGGAGACCAGGACATAGTCAACCACCCTCCCACCACCAACTGCCACCATCAGCTGAGCCACTGCCCAGAAGAACGGAGCCCAGGGGACACACGGGCACAGAGTTCCATTCCAACTCTGTCCTTTAACCCATGTCGGCACCCTGAACAGATATTCCCCTGCCTCAGCTTCCCAGGGTGCTGGGATTGGGGCGCACATTCCCAAATTCTCCAGCTACTCCCACCCTCTGAGGTCTCCTCAGACTCATCAGTGGTCACAGGCCAGGTGGTTACAGGCCCTGAAGAGGAAACAGCTACCTGTAAACTCTGCTCCTCACAGAGGCGCTAATGGAGGTGCAACCAGACAATCCTGAGTAGCAGAGACCCTGCCCTGAAGACACCTGGAAAGGCCTGAGTCCGCTGGGGAGGCCACCGCAGCCCACAGCCCAGGCCCCGGTCTTCAGCCCTCTCCCAAGGCTGGCAGCAGGCTGGCCCTGTGTTGTGACAGCAGGGCGAGAACAGGTTGGATGGCAGAGGGGCGTCCAGGTCGGAAGCTCACTCACGACACATGGCACACGGTCAGGGAGCCCCCAGTGCAGCAGGGCGGCTCCTGTGAAGCTGGGCCCAGCGGGCAGAGGGCAAAGTGCGGCCCCAGGCCAGGTTCCCATCGCCACACTGAGCACGGGTCCTGTTCCTTGGGATCTGGACCTGGGCTCTCTAGGAGTGGGGCTGCTGCACCCCAGAAATATCATTGGCAGGAATGGAGATGGTGACATGTCCACAGAAGTGGACAGAATGATAGGCTGTGCCCAAGAGGACTAGGCACCAAAGTCCACCCCTCTAGGGGGACAGTTTTAGGGACAAATGCATGGGGTTGTGTGACCACAACTACAAGATATAGAACATTCTTCTCCTTCTCTCCCTTCTCCTCCTCTCCCTTTTCCTCCTCCTCCCCTTTTTCCTCTTCCTCTTCTTCCTCCTCCTCCTCTTGCACCTCTCCTCCTCCTCCTCCTTCTCCTCGTTTTTGAGACAGGGTCTTACAGTGCAGTTCAGGCTAGGTTTGAACTCCCTTTGTAGCCCAGGCTGGCCTCTGACTCAGTTTCCCTCCTGCCTCAGCCTCCTGAGTGGTGGGGTTACAGGTGTGCACCACCATGCCCAGCATAGAACATTCTTACCAGCATTGGGTATCAACAGCTATTTGTCTTTAGCCATCCTAGTAGCCGTGTGACAATGTCACAGAGTGTGTAATATCAGAGTTCACAATGTAAGGGGCTTATAAAAAACACAAACTGAGCAACTGGGTGTGGCGGACATGCCTGTACTTGGGAGACCGAGGCAGGAGGATCATGGACAGTCTGAGGCCAGCCTGGGCTACACAGTGAACTCAGGACTGGCCTAAACTATACAGCAAGAACCTGTCTCAAAACAAAAGCAAAAGATAAGCTCACAATAGGAGTTCCCATTTCCAGAGTTTTATGGAAGATACTACTCAGGACTATCAAAAAATTCTCTTTTTGGCTAGGAGATCGTTCAGAAAAATGTGCTGGTGGGCTCTTATGATGAGAACTGGGGTCCCCGGGCTTCCCCTGCCTGTGAAGTAGAGACTGAGGGAGCTGGCATGCTCTGCATCATCATCAAGATCATGACCATCATTATTATTTTGGTTTTCTGATACACGGTTATGCTTTGTAGTCCAGACTGGCCTCAGAACTCATGGTGATCCTCCTGCCTCAGCCTCCCAAGTGCTGGGATTAAAGGTGTGTGCCACCAGACCTGGCACTGCATAAGGAGAAAAGAAGCTGAAATGGTTCAAGGAAGAAGGATTCCTGTGAGTTTGAGGCCAGCCTGGAATCCATAGCTAGATCCTGCCTCAACAACAACAAAAAAAGGTGTGTGTGATTCTAATCCATAGGAGCCGGGACAAATGGCAGTGTTCACCCGTCTCTGAAAATGGAGAAAGAGGGTGACAGAGACTCCGTGCTAGAACCACACAGGCGATGCCTACGTCCATGCAACTGTGGGGCGGCTCCTAGATAGCAGCTCCATGACAGCGATGGTGGCCATCGCATTCCCTGCACTCGAAGAGCTCCAGGTGCACATGACCTCGGGGACCCCACAGGACACGGAGTTCATCCCGTGGCTCCTGCTCACCCTTCCCCACATGGGGCAGACTTGAGGCCCAGTGCTGCCCTCGGAGTTACACAGAGGTGCAGGGGTTCCTCTGGCTCCTCCAGGCCTCCTGGCACTGTGCTCTCCTGCTGAGCTCTTCCCAGGCTCCTGTGGAGCCTTCCCCGGCCTCATGATCTCCCGCTGCTGACACCCCATCTTGGGGGCCCTTCATGCTTCTCAGCCTTGTGAGGGGCTGAGACTCCCCTTGGACTCCTGCTAGAAAGAACTCCTGCCCCAGACCCTGTCTGCACTGGCACCACTGACACCCTTAGCTCCCAGGATGACCACAGCAGGATCTGGATCTTGCCGCGCTGAGCCCAGACCTGGACAGCAGGGACATTGGGCCCTGCCCTTTTGGCTTTGCTGGAGGCTCAGACTGTGTCTTTCCTTCATGAATATTCTTTGTAACAAAAAACCCATAAAAACTAAATTAAAAGTTTCTCAGTGAACAGTAGGATCATAAACAATGACTACATACATTCAGCGCAGCTGGCCCTGCAGGCAGGGACCCAGGTCTTCACTTCTTGAATAAAGTCATAGAGGACAATGTAACAACCTCAGGGCAAAAAGACTATGCCAGCTGAAAGGTGCAGGAGACTGGTGCACCCCTTAACCTCTCACACATTAAAATATGTCCCAAAGGAGCTGGGCATGGTGGTGCACCTTGTAATTGCAGCACTCAGGTGGCTGAGGCAGGAGGATCACTGCAAGTTCAAGGCCAGCCTGGGCTGCAAAGTAAGTTCAAGGCTAGGCTGAACTGAACTGCATAGTGAAACCCTGTCTCAAAAATAAATAAAAATAAATAAAATAAGATATGCCCCAAAGAAAGCCAGACATGACACATGCCTATAATCCCATCAGTCAGGAGGCTGAGGCAAGATGGTCACCACCAAGGCCAGCCTGGGCTACATAATAAAAACAAACAAACATTAAAAAATGGGGAAAAATGCCCAAAATGGGGTGACATGGATGGTACTTGGAACTGTAGAAGCCCTAATTTTACTAGAAATTCTGCCACTTGGTGTTAAAAAGAAGGGCTACACTGCAGGGCTCGGTGGGACGTTGTGTAGGGGAAAGTGGCTGGAGCCAATAAGCAGGAGGGACAAGCCAGAAGAGAGACTAGGGATGGCCTGGGGGATGTCGAACTGGGGGTGTTTGAGGTGCACTAATAAACCACACAGCATATTTCACAGCGTGGCCACGTGCTGGGCACCGTGCTAAGAACCAGCCACATTTCCTCCCTGCCAGTGTCCAGAACAACAGAAGAGGAGAACGTGCTGCCCATCACAGAGCCGAGGAGGACAGGCCTCCTAGCTTCACCATCCCCTGTGTGCGTGGCAGCCTTTCCATTGCTCCGGGGACAGCGACAAACCCTCAGGAGAGACTGCAGTGGAGGGGCCTTCATGCTGGATGCCCCTGTCCTCCCCTGGGCTCTGTGGCAGCAGACAGATCTACCATGTGCCAGCTATTTGAGGGCAGAGCTCACGGCAGGGCCTGCAGAGGCGACACCTGGCCTTGTCCATCCACAGGAAACAAAGCCGGGAAATCCCCATCTGTCCCCACCCCTGTGGCCACGCATCCTGCATCTGTGGCTGGCCCCAGGGACAGGCATGTGGGGCCCAGGTATGGGACTTCCTAAGTCAAGGGTTTCAGGTGACACTGGCGAATCATTTTGCAAGCAAATGCCACAGGTCTCCTCTCAGACTGGACGGCGCACAAGGTCAGCGTCAGCAGATCTGACCCTAAAAATAGGCTCCCTGATGCCAGTCGACAAGGCTGGCTGTGGGCTGCCACATGCCCACAGAGCAGCACCTCCTGGCCAAGCAGGTCCCACACACACAGGTAAGGCCTTGGGCGGGGACGCTGGGACCTCCTGGTTCTGCCAAGTGTTCTTGAGGGGCTTTTCCCTACTACTTCTGGGGCTGTGGAGACCAGCAGATGTCCTGGAAGTGTGAAAGGTTCCTTGGCATCGCAGCACTTTTCAGAGACACGATGGAATTTTGTCTACTTCCCTCTAAATCGAAGTTTCTGGTTCTATGACTATTTCTAAGTGATAACGAGGTGGGTTAAGATCACAGGGCCCTTCTGGGGTGTCTAGAGCATTATATAATATGTCGCTTTTCAACGAGGCTGTCCATGGAGCCAGCTGAGGGCAAAATCTTGGGGGCCTGGGGGCTGGGGGGAAGAGGGAAATCAATGTGACTGTGCTTGTGTGAGGGCAGCATGGACTACAAACGAGAGCCTGAAGCCCAGGGACCAGCCTGCTCCCTGTGTGCTGGGTAACACTAAGCACCAGGGCCAGGGCGACTGTTCTGGAAGCTTTTCCCAGTCTTGGTGGGAGGAAGGGGCCAGGCTGATGTGCTGATTGTGAGAGAGAGGCTGGTCCTGCGGTCAGAAGGGGGAAGGTGTCCTGTGTCTCCAGTAGAACTGTCTCCTTTGACCCTGGCGCGCTTGTCCTGTGGCCCCAGGTCACACGTGGGCCTGGAGTCCAAGAGCTGCTGTGTCTGGGACTCAGAGGAGCATTCCGGAGAGGCCACCAGTAGCATGGGACACCATGACTTTCTGTTGTCTTGCTCTTCCGGTGTTCCCACCTCTTAGTGAGAAAACCATTTTGGTTACACCAACAAACCAGAGGCCTCTGACGTTGACAAGAGCTGAGTCCTCAAGTGTGGGGTGCGGCGGGAGGAGGGAAGAGAGCTGGGGAGGTCGGTCACCCCGCAGGCCTTCAGGGTACTCAGGAGTCGGCTGACCCCAGCCCAGCTCTGTGCTGAGAACTTTGCCCGGAAGCACTCATCTCCTCTGTGAGGATGGACACCATTGTCTGTATTGTCAGGTGAGGAAACCGAGGCAGAGAGATTCAAGTGATTTGCCAGGTCATGCAGCTTAGACAGTGGGAGAGGCTGAACTGTGGAGTTCAGAGGCTGACAGTGTAGCCACTGGATGTTTTTGTTTGGTTTGGTTTGGTTTTTTGAGGCAGGCTCTTGCTATGTAGTTCAGGTGGCCTTGTGTGTAGCCCATGCTGGCCTTGAAGTTGTGTGACCCTCCTGCCTCAGCCTCCCAAGTGCTAGGATTACAGGTGTGCACCATCACGCTCAGCTTCTTCGGGGGACCCCGGCTGGTTTTGAGCCCTCCTCTTCCATGGGGAGGAGGGAAGGAGTGAAGGCTCATACCAGCACCTAGGTATTCACTGCAGGGAGAGAGCCCCCCCAAGCCCCTGTCACCACAGCAGGCTGTGCAGGATTGTCTAGGCCATCTCATGGGGCCCAACTTCCCAACAGACACCACCCCACACATCTTTTCCTACACTTGGCTCGAACACAGCTCTGGTTCCTTGGCTTCTGGCTCCAGGTCCCTGCTCTAGGAGACACCTGAAGCCCACACCGACGTACCAAGGGCTCAGCTTATCCCATTTACCCCAACAGCCAGTGAAGGGGCACTGTCCCCACTTCCAGATGAGACTTATGTGAGACGCTGGGGTCCCTGCCAGCTCTAGACACATTTTCACACCACCCTGCACTTGGCGGGGGGGAGGAGCACACAAATGTGGGAGGCCCAGGCTTGTCTTAGGAGCTCTATCTGTGACGAGTGAGTTAACCTGTTGACCTGGTTGGAAGGCAAGGCTGCTCCGGCTAAGTCTCTGTTGCTTCTCGTGGTAGATCAGTGTGGGTTTCCTCTCTGACCCTCTGTTGTCATCTGAAGCATGGGGCAGTTAGTCTACTTTGGAGGTCTCAAGAGCGACCTGCAGACACACAGTAGAAGCAGCCACCCTTAGGATCCCTTCCCAGGGGCTGGGCTCCTCTGGGAGCTTTGGCAGCAGCTTCCAGAGGAAGCAGACCCAGTCCCAGCCCTGCTAGGTCCAGGGCTCCCCTGCCTGGCATCCTGGAGCCAGGCCTCTGAGGAAGGGTTCCTGCAGCAGGAAGTGGAGGGCCCACAGCAGGGGCTGGACCCTCACAGTCTGAAATCCCTCAGGCTTCCCCTGACAAGGAGAGTTTGTTCTGAGGGGACACTGGGTGGGAAGCAGTTCTCCATGCTAAGCAGCTGGCTGCCTTTCCACACATCTCCAGAGGAGGCAAAGGCCTAGCTGCTTGGGGTTGGGGCCTACAGCAGGCCTGGGCCAGACGTCCCTCCCCACAGGCCCCCTCCCTGTCCCCACTGGCTGGTGTCCACCCTTTGTGGGAGAAGGAAAGGGTGTGGCTTCCAGCTCCCCACCTTCTGCAAGGCCCCTTCCGCCAAACCAAGACTAGGGAAATCAATTAGAGGAGTTCAAAAATTACCACCCCGAAGCGCTCTGAAACCATCTGAGGAGTTAATCAAATGAGTTCATGACATCGACACCACTGGGGGGGGGATATTCAATTTCCTCTCAAATGAAGGCTTTTCTGTTTTTCTTTTAATAAAAAGGATTTTACACTAATTCACATAATTGCCTCCTGTTACCCTACTTGCCAGAATCTAAAAGAAAGGAAAAATGCTTACGTTTGGATTATAGTTGCTACATTAAGAATTAAATTATAGGCAACAAAAAAGATTATTGGGTTTTCAAAAATAATTTTTTGGGGAAAAAAATCTATAATTTTTATTTTCTAGCTGGGATCGCTTTGGTAGATTTCAATGCATAAAAGCAAGCACTGACATAGCAAATTAAAATATGCACGTATTTATATGCGTCCACAGCTGCCAGCCCCCACAACGTACACTCACACCCCACAGGTTTTACTCTAATTGTCATTTGCCCAACCACAGTAAGGTTTTCACTTCTTGCAAAGCACATTCCAGACCCAACTTGGGTGGAGTCAGGAAGAAATGTGTGTGTTCATTCATCCATCCATTCATTCACCATGGTCCTGGGGATTGAACCCAGGGCCTTTGCACAGAGCTGCATCCCAGTTCTTCTCATTTTTATTTTAAGGCAAGCCCTTGATAGATTGCCCGGGTTGGTCTTGAGTTTGTTGTTCTGCCTCAGCCTCCTGAGTAGCTAAAATTACAGACGGTGCCACCATGCCTGGCTGTGTGCACGTACTTAAACCTAAACTAAGGTCCCTCACGATTCCGGTGCACTGGGAATATGGACACCTATAAATACAAAATAATCTCCAAGGGAGGGCAGATCAGAGTCTAAACTTTTCTACTGCACCCAAAATTTCTAGACATGAGAGACCCCTCTGGCCCAGCCCACCACCCTGGCCCAATCCTCTCCCAGGGCCGAGTGTCAGATACTGGGACACAGGAATAAAGCTCCCGTGAGGTTGAGTCAAGGAGAAAATGGTGGTGCTTCCTGTTCCCATTCTAGCGCCCTGATGCGACTGATTTAGGCTAAACTAAGGGGAAGCTGGGATCACTGAGGGAACCAAAAATAGCCTAGACATTCGATAGGGCTGGGGAACCCTCAAATCAGAGGGGGGAATAATTTCCCTTCCAGCCAGATTCTCCTTGAAGCCTGAGCACCCCACACTTGTACCAACCTCTTCTGGGGCTCTGCGCCTATTACTTTCTTTTTCTTAAGAAATTGTATAAGGCCAAGTGTGGGAGTGCATGCCTGTAATCCCAGCACTCGGGAGGCTGGGGCAGGAGGGTTGTTGTGAGTTCGAGACCAGCCTGGGCTACATAGTGAGTTCAAGGCCAGCCTGAACTACATGGTGAAACCCTGTCTCAAAAAGAACAAAAAAAAGAAAGAAGTCGTATAAGTTGGGGACCATCTAGTGCGGATTCCTCTGGTTCCCCAGGAAGCATGAGGGTCTAGTGTGACCTCCAGGACACAGACTTGTCCTCATGGAGGCAGGCAGTGCCTGGAGAGAGTGAGGGCCACTTGGGGCCTCAGAGAGAGTGGGCCTCGCCCTGGCCTCACTTTACAAGTGTAAGGTGTGCATCTCCCCGCAGAACAATTCTAAAATAGCGTCTCCCCAGGGTTTTAATTCTTTTCCCTCTGTATGTTTGAGTAACACGTAGTTACCACAGACAGTTTAGAAAAGATAGTTACTTAAACAAAAGAAAACAAAATTCACAGTAATTTCATTGCTGCAGATAAGAACATAGCCAGTGTTAATATTTGGTGACAACCTGGTGTGGTGGCACATGTGAAAAGCTGCTTTAAAAAAATCAAAATAATTTTGGTGACAATTATTTTTGTGTAAGAACAGGACCATACTGAAAAAAGTGCTTTTAAACTCCTAGCCTCTTCCCTTCAAGCCCACGACTCTTTTTCTTGTCTTTTTTGACACAGGGTCTCACTGTGCAGTTCAGTAGCCCAGATCAACCTTGAATTCACAGTGATCCTCCTGCCCCAGCCTCTCGAGTGCTGGGATTACAGGTGTGTGCCACACCACTGGCATTTTCTTTGCTTTCTTAAAATCACCTTTTATTCTTTGCTTTCTTATACTGTACCTGTCATGTATAAGAAATGGCTTTGCTGGGGATTTAGCTCAGCAGCATAAGCACCTGCCTGGATCCCTAGTACCCAAAAAAAGAGAAAGAAATGGCTTTGTCTAACACTGAGTTCAACCATGAGGGCCAGCATAGCTGTGGGGCACCTCCAGGTGACACTGGGAATTCCTCCTTCTCAGTAGCTTGGAGCCATCTGTCACCTGGAAACTCCTTTCAGGCCTCAACCTTCCCTTTCCTGTACCAAAAGGTCTTCTCATACCCCTTCTAGAATGTCCCAGGAAACTCGAAACTTTCTTGCTTTACTGTACAGAGTTGGTTTTGTTTTTTTTGTTTTTTTTTTTTTTTTTTTTGTACCAGGAATTGATCTCAGGACCTTGCACTTGCCAGGCAGGTGTTTATGCTGCTGAGCTATATCCCCAGCCCCAGCATTTTGGTTCTGTTTGATCCATTCTACCACTTCCCAGGCCATGCTGCAGGACTTTTTTTTTCCTGTCAAAAAGATCCTCAAATGGTGTGTTTCTGTTAAGCACAAGGTCCGTACTATAGATCTTAAAAATGACAGACCTAGGGCTGGGGATTTAGCTCAGCGGCATAAGTGCCTGCCTTGCAAGCAGGCAGTCGTGAGTTTGATCCCTGGTACCGATTAAAAAAAAAAAATGACAGACTTAACTTGTACACTGTCATTTGTCGCTATGGCTCCCCAGCCAGTCTCTTCCCCTGGTTCCCCAGCCAGACCCCTTGGAAGAGATTTAATTTTTCCACTGAAATGAATCACCCATCTCTTCAGCTCTGCTCCTCTGATTCACCACCTCCGAAGGCGGAAGTATTCACATGGCCACTGTTACTTTGGGGGACAGCCAGCAGTCGCGTGGTGCCAGAGCGGTGAGGAAGTGGGTGAGGTCAACTGTGACGTGTCTAACGAGCCTGCCTTTCCACTGGGCAGCACTGGGCTGCAGCGTTCCCTGGATGGCTGGTCCTGTAAAGACACTCATGAAAGAGGACTTGCAGAACTGCTCCAGAAAGTGGCAGGAGTAATGGGACGGACGAGTGTGTTCAGATCGAGGGAGGGTATTTTGGAGGAGATTAATGGCTGTGTTTTTACCGTAATCAACTCGTGACTTAAACATTCACTACATTATTTTGAACTCCCCTTGTAAAAGGCACTGTCTGCCAGTCATTGACAGTGACTTGAGCAAGGAAAGGGACAAACCCGGGACAACATCTGCTACCGCTGCCTACATTGAAATACTAATGCATGTTTTAGAGAAATCTGGTTTCCTGCCTTCTCACAAATGTATGAGGAAATCTAGCCTGCGCTCCTACACGGAGTGGAGTGGCAGCTCCTCCAGGGAAGTGTCTGCCCTTGTTCACGCTTCTGTCCCCACCTCCTTCTAAGGTCTCCTGCTTCAGGCTGACAGCCAGGCTATTGTTGGTTTCCTCGGGCTGTGTCATCTGCCAGTGCCCGTGAAGCATCCTGGCATGGCCATCTCTTGACGAGGACGTTTACAGAGGCCAAGCAGCCTTCAGAGCTGGCATTTGATTTCCTGGGACCAAATCTCTAACTATGCAGCTGTAACTGGAACCCGGAGCCGCTCTTGACAGCTTGCCTGGCCCTCATTATGACATTTAGCCTGTGATTGATATTGCGTGTGTCATGGAGACTTTGGCAGCTAATCTCGGGGTGGGATCTATGGAAACCAAACAGAACAGATTTGTCTTCCCTGCCATTTTGGCTGTGATCTGGGAAACAGACTCTCTTGGCCTCTCTGCAAATGAGGTATCTGAGAGCCATGCAGAGAGGGATGCACACAGCCGCCCTGAGGATTTGGAAAGATTACAGGTCTGCGGTTTCTGGACGGCTCCTCGCTTTGTTCTCTTCCCCATCCAGCGGTGCTGGGGGATAATGGATCCCAGAGCCCCTCTGCGTGCCAAGCTGCTCAGGGTGGACCGAGCCGCTTCCGCTTCTGTCTGGAAACGCAGCTGGGCTTTCAGCACAGAGGTGGGGGCCTTGGGAGCGGAAAGGGGCAGATGCTCAGAGTGCAGTGGCTCCAGCATCACCCCAAAATCACCTTTCTGAAGCCTCCGCTACAGGCAAGCAGGTCCAAAAGGGTGTAAACCACCACCACACCGTTTTTCACCCCCGGCACCAGCTGAAATTCAGGAGTGTCAGACGTAGGGTCCCTAGGGGTGGGGCACAAGGAAAGCTGTCACTGTGTGCTTAGGAGACCAGGGGGTCTGTACTGGTTCCTGTGGAGGAGCCTCGGCTACCCCTTGGGATGATTCCCCTTCCTGCTGGGCCCTGAGGTCAAAGTTAGTCCTTGGCTACTGCTGGGAGGAGGACAAAGGTCAGTAGCTCCCTGCAGGTCAGCCATGCTTCACCAGCCTGGTTGAGTCCCCACAAGGCCTCTCAGGCCTTTATCACCCATCTCCCTACCAACTCATTCATTCTTTTCTGCCTCAGTTCATCCATTCACGAAGGCATTTTCTCATTCAACAAACACTTCCCAGCCAAACGTGGCGGCACACACCTGCAACCTCAGCACTTGGGAGGCTGAGGCAGGGGGATTGATGTGAATTTGAGGCCACCTGGGCTACACAGTGAGTTCAGGGTCAGTCTGACCCAGCAAGACCCTGTCTCAAACAGCAAACACACACACACACCCCAAGCAAAGGTTTCCCTAGCCTGTGCTGTGTTCCAGATACTGAGGCTACAGAGATAAGAGACTCCAAGCTCGTCCTGCCTTCTCTTCGCCCTGCAGCTCGGGCCGAGCTCTGGCCCAGCCTCAGTGAGGAGATGGAAGGCCCCTTACTCCCTTTCTCTTCTCAGAAGCTCCTTGATTCTTTGACCACATTTCAGGCAAATACTTAGCGTCAGACTTGCTGGTTAAAACATAAGCTCCTAGGCCTCTGTCCATCTTTAGTGCCGAGTGGAACTGATGAACACAGTGTCTAGGCCACTCTTCGAGAGGCCCCAAAGAAGGGTCCCATCTGCCCTGCACTGCCTGCACCCCCGGCAGGAAGCACGCAGTGCAGGGGAAGTCACAAATCCTCACCTCCTATATCACCACCAACACACACTGCTAACCAGGGTCCTTCGGTACGTCTGCTATGGACTCAGTAGATCAAAACCCCCAAAGCTGGATTTCAGTCCTTTCTAAAGGTCTCACTGTAGTGCCTCAACTGACCCTCAATGCCTGGGTTCAAGTGACCCTCTTGTCTCGGCCTCCTAAGCAGCTGGCACTACCGGGGCATGTTATGGTGCACAGCGCCTTTTTATGAATTGTTTCAGAGGATTCCAAACACACACAAAACACACACAGTAACTGTGACCACTGTTCAACCCCAGCCACCACTGCCCCCAGCCAGCTGTGCCTCACAGCTTCATCAGGCTCTTATTTATTTTTTGAAACAAGGTCTTGCTACATAGTTCAAGCTGACCTCAACCTGATAGGATCCTCCTAGCTCAGCTCCCAGATGGTGGGATTACAGGTGGGCACCACCACGCCCAGCTCTTTCTCCTTTTATTCTTGTGTTGTTAGTAGTCAACACTGGTTGCGTGGATCCAGTCCCGCATCCTCCCTTATCACCTGGAATACAGCATCAAAGACAAAATTCCCCTCATCTCTCCAGGAGTAGAGTTTGTGTCAGAAAGGAACAACGCAAGCTAGATTCCAGTTACCCAGCTTCAAAATAAGGAGCTCCTCCCTTACCACCTCCCAGCAGTGAATAATTAGGTCCTTTGCCATCTCAGTGAGCAATGGATTTCAATCCGGCATTCTTTTTGTTATTTGTATTCAAGTGGTCTGCTTTAGATAAGTGGGAGCCTTTTCAAGCAGGATTCCGAGAGGTCTTTGATCCTAGTGGTCTCTGAAGCCCGACAGGCTCCTTTCCTCAGATCTATCTGTGCTGTTCACACCATGTCCACTTCTCCCTCTCCATGAGCAAGGGTTGCGTGCCGCAGGCACCTTCTGCACAATTCACCTCCTCTGTGAAATGGGGAGACGCACGCTGCCCACCTCAGAGAGCACTTAAGGTTAAACGCATTTATAATCGTGAAGAACTTGGAACAAAATGATGCATGCACAAAATTAGTACTGTTTAAGTACAGCCCTCACTCAGCACCATAAGCGATGGGTTCCAGGAGCCCCCAGGACACCCTGATGGACAAGGGTACAGGATTTGGGTCTAATCTTTGTATTTCCTCCTACGTACTTTAAACCAAGCCTGGATTCCTTATAACCCAATGCAATGTGTATTCACTGTGAACAGTTGTACACTGTATTGTTTAGGGAATACGTCAAGGAAAATAGTCTGTGAGTGTTCACAACAGGTGCAGTTTTTCTTTTTGGATGATTTTTGATCCTCAGTTGGTGGACTCCACTGACGTGGAAGAATCAGAATAGAAGGTTGGCTGTATCTGTCAAGTAGTATACAAATAAATAACATTGCGGCCCCACCGTGCTCCTCAGTCACCGCCTCTCTGACTCCCCTCGTGGGGTTGTGGGACTGGAGGTGATCATTTACTGAGCTCAGGGAACACCAGCCGCCCTGCCCCACACTGACTTCATTTCCAGGGGACAGTAAGAACTCTGCATTCCGCCAGCGGAGCCCGCCACGCTCTCCCACTCCAAGCCCCTTCCAGAGTGCAGGCACTGCGTTTCCTTGTTGAGACATTAGGGCCGCAGTGACCTGCCTCCTATGGTGACCCCTGCAAATGTGAGCCCGTGTCCCAGCCAGCCGGCCAACCGCCACACGGCCAGTTCTCTCAGTGTCCAGGTGTCATAGCCCCACCTCTGTGAGTGGCAGTGGAGACCCCGGCCAGGCCCGCTCTGGACACAGCCACACCTGCCTGTTGGCCAGCAGCTCTCTGTGGGTGTCAGGAGGGCCACCAGCCTGCAGGCAGGGACCTCCTGGGCTTTCTGATTCAAGTTTAGAACTGTCTAAATAAGCAGGATCCAGTCAGTAAAGGAAAAAGTAGGCATCAAAAAAGGGTAAAGTCTAAAAGAAAGGTGGGAAGGCACCGGATGCTGGGAGGATTTCTTGGGCCCAAATCCGTTCTGAGGTCTGCAGTGTGCAAATTCATCTCAGCCTCTGGTCTCCTGGCTCTGGAAACACTAGAATGTCGAGACGGTCATTTAACTGTCACCGTGGCCATCTCCACTTAGCTGTGTCCCTGGGTGAGTGTGCAAAGACACAGCAGGCGGGGCAGATTTGGCTTTCTCCTACTGTCCCTGTAGCAGCCACCCCTACCCAGTGTCCCCATCAACCCTCATTCTGACCCTCTCTCGTCAACAGCTGCAGAAAGGAGAGCAAACCCCTTGGCTCCAAAATGACGTCTGGGGACGCGAAGACAAACCTCACGAATGCCTACCCGCCTGCCAAGGGGCTGTTTCCGCGGGCCCAGGAAGCGGAGGCTGAGGACTATTGCACACCTGGCGCCTTTGAGCTAGAGCGGCTCTTCTGGAAGGGCAGCCCCCAGTACACCCACGTCAACGAGGTCTGGCCGCGGCTCCACATTGGTGACGAGTAAGTGCCCAGGGAAGGCAGCAGCCCGTCCCCTGCCGGCTCACCCCTCGTGCTGGCCATGACCTTTGGCTTTGGTTAGTTGTGCCATGCCATCCCTGTGTGGGTGCATCTTCATTTTACAGAAAAGCCAGGGCAGAGGCTTATTTCTGTCTTTCATAGGCATGCAGAGGGTCTGGCCACAAGGTGGCTGCAGGGTGTTATACTGCTGTTGGGGATGCTGACCAACATCTGTGAGATTCAATCAGCAGGACTGAGAGAGAAGGGAAGACAAAATGACCATTTTCCAAAAGGAAGTCTTACCTGAGACTTCCCCTGCCCCTAGCTGCAAGGGAGGCTGGGAACTGTAGTCTTTTATTTTAGGTGGATATAACAGCAGCAAGAATAACATCAATTGTCAGATTGAAGGCATAGCCCATGCATCCGGAATGATGGTCAGGCTAAGTCATAGTCACCATCCCCTTTTCTAGGTGTTACAGCCACCATTCCCCATCCCACAAAAAACTGACTATAGATCTTACTAGTAATAATAATGGCCATCATTCACAGAGTAGGATATCCAGACACTGTGCTAAGCACCCCACATATGTGGTCTCATTTCATCTTAAGGATAACCTAATAAAAAGCAGTTTAGTAAGTGCCCCTCAGGCCCCACAGCATGACAGCAGAGAGCTGAGGTTCAAGTACAGCTTTACCCAGTCCAGAAGCTCGGTCCTAACCACCACCCCAGCTCGTTCTCAGGCCTCCAGAACGTCAGCTCATGTTCCGTGTGTCCACGGAGCAGACAGGACAGGGGCCCTGCCAATGGGACCTTAACACACATCTTGCTGCTTTCAGAACTAGAAATAATTAATGGGCTGTGATAGCACATGCATGTAATTCCAGCACTCAGGAGGCTGAGGCAGGAGGATCACTGCGAGTTCCAGGCCAGCCTTGGCTGTGTAGTGAGTTCAAGGCCAGCCTGAACTACATAGTGAGACCCTGTTTCAAAGAACAAACCTGCTAGAAATAACTACCTAGCCAGGAAAATCACCAAGGCAGAATCTCTTATTTTTTCCATTTTTTTAAAAAAACGTGAGGCATTATACAAATTACACATTCCTATAATCCCAGCTACAGGCAGGAAGATTGCAAGTTTAAAGCCAAGCTGGGCAACATAGCAAGACTTATCTCAAAATAAAAAATGTAGTAGAGCACTAATCTGGCATGTGCATGGCCCTGGATTCAATCCTCAGGAACAACAAAAGTCAAAAGCTTTTTTAAAATACTAATATAAACTAAATAAGAGGTTACAAAAAATTGTGTAATCTCTTAATTTTACCACTAACCAGTATTAAGTTCTCTAGCATATTTCTACTGCTTCATGTGTGTTATTGCAAACATAAGGAAACATATAAAAGTTTCATTTCTTCTACACAATACTTTAAAAAAGGAACAACACCACACATACTCTTCTGTACTTTGAATATTCTATAACATAATCGTTTACTCAATCACTTTTATTTTATTTTATTTTCTCTTAATTTAAAGAGGATAAAACAGAATAAAACCAATTAAAACAAACCAGTGTAAGAGATGCAGGGCTTCAAAACATTACAAAATTGATAATAGTTACCACAATGCCTCTTGATGTCTTCCAAATAGCTGCAGATAACTTCAGACATAGTAAAAATCAAACAGAACAGAATAGAATAGAAACAGTAAAAACAAAACAATGAATGCAATAAAGGACTTCAAAGCAAGCCAATAGTAAATCCAAAATTGCTACCATAATATTTTTTGCTATCTTTGAAATAGCTGCTCCTGCCATCAGATTTGACATACTCAAACAAAACAAAAGAAAACCCTAACCCAACAAAACAATGGATATGATAAAGGAATTCCAAAACTAGACCATAGGGAATCAACAGTGGCTGCAACCCTCAGAAGGAGATCCCCCCTAGATGCCACACTGCGTACCGCTGCCCTCTGAACCTCTGAGCAGACCCCTGGCCCGAGACCTGCAAGGTCAGTGAAACACCACAGCACCGCAGGCATCCAATTGCATTTCACCTCCACAGCTATCATCACAGCCTGTGTGTCTCCGGATAAGCCAGTCACTTACAGAGCAGGTGGGGTGGGAGAGGTTGGTGCTTCTTGTTTGCCAGCCTGCGTGTTGGAGGGGGCTGGGGTCTGTCTGTTCCAGTCCACTGGCGACCCATGCATGATGGCACTAGTTCCAAGACAGGGCTTGCTTCCTGGTGTGGCCTTCTCTCTACCTGCAGTCCAAGAATGGCGCTGACTCACGGGGAGAGGCTGGGGTCTGTCCCGGATCCCTTTCTAGTTGAGAATATTAGGGTCTTAGGTGAGGGAACAGAGAAATTCTGTTTTCTCTTTTGCTTTTAGCTTCATTTGGTTATAATTCACATACCATAAAATCTATCCTTTTAAATGATACGATTCAGTAGTTTTATTCTGGTTGCAGACCTGGGTGACCATCACCACTATGTATTTCAGAATACTTTTATCACCTAAAGAGGACACCTGGAACCATTAAACAGCTGCCTCTCATTCCCCAGCCCCTGGCAAACACCAGTCTGTCTACTTTCTGTTTTTATGCATTTACCTGTTCTGGATATTTTGTATAAACAGAATCAGACAGTACTCGGCCCGTGAGGCTTGGCTTTCTTCCATCCTGCAAACTGTTCAGGGCTCTCCCAAGTCCTAGCATGGATTAATATTTTACCCCTCTGTATCATCAAATAATCTGTGTACTATTTTTGCAAATTTTCTGTAAAACTAAAATTTGTTTCTTTTAAAAAAATGTACATATACATTTCATCCCAAAATCACTTTCAGAAGCACAATTCACAGATCTGAGTATTACTGTATCACAGATATAAGAATATTACTGTATATGCACAAAATATCTATTATAACGCTAGCAAAAAAAGTGAACCTGACTCTTTTATCTTTTAATAATGATATATTAAATCTAGTAAATATATTTTCCTATTGTAAAAGCAAAGTATGCTCATCGTATGACCGGGCAAGTATTCATTCCATATGTGCAATAAAGTGATAAAAAAAACCCCTCCCCTGTAGGTTTCCATGGATTGTGATGCTGTTTGTAAAATAGCGTGGTTCCTAACCAGTGAGCATTCAGTAATGGTTAGCTATAACAATAAAAGAGAGGTTAGCAGAGAGAAGACAACTTCAATTTCTCAAGCCCATTGTTCCAAAGCCATATATTTCAGTGCATTTCCTCCTAGACTTCCTGTGCATTATTTTTAGTTGAGTAATTAATTTGTTTTTATGTATCTGTAACTTCATTGATTATTATTTTATCTCATGTTTCCCACCTAACTTCATTCATAAGCATTTCCTTTATTACAGGCTTCCCACACTGGGAATAATAACAGACAACATATCAGAGGGATAGGAGACCACTTATTCATTTATTACTTCCCTTGTTGTTGAACATAATGGTTGTTTCCATATTCTCACTTTTATAAACAGTACTGCAGCAGACAGCTTGATGCAGCATTTCCGCATGGAGGACATTTTCTTTTGGTTTCTTTTTCTTTTTCAGTACTGGGGATCAAACTCACAACCTTGTGCTTGCTAGGCAGGCGCTTACACCACTGGGCTAAATCCCTGGCCCTAGAGAATCTTTTCTTTAGCTCTAAGCTTAATGGTGCAAATGGGGGCAGGAGATTACGGTGTTCAAACTTTGACCACCTCTGTGTCTTTGGTCACACTGGTCCCTTTGCCTCAATGTCTTCCCTTCACCTTACCTCCTGGTTGATCTCCCTTCTGTGTTCTGTCCTGATCATTCTTCAGAGTTCACAAAAGTCCCTTCTGCCATGAAACTAGCTTTCTCTGATGCCCGCAGTGAGAAGCACGTCTCTCTCTGTGTATTATATATATTAGATAAATATTACAGATATTTATATAAATATAGATATTTATATTATATATAATATTTATCTCTCCTATGGCTGATAATAATAATAATGAGTTGCATTGAATTCTTACCCATGTGCTATGCCTTGGGCCAGGCTCATTCAGAATCCACAGTAACCCTATGGAAGTATATTATCACTCCCATTTTATAAATGGGCAAACCAAGGCTCAGAGAGCTCAGTCAAGTCAGTTAGAATTTCCTGGGCAACTTGCAGGGACTTGAAAAGGAAAGAGACTACTAAGTTTCAGGTCATACTACCAGTAAATCACAGAATTTATACTCAAAACCCAGGTTAAAAAAAAAACCCACCCATCAGCGAAAGGAGCATCTTGGTATGTAAGGAGAGAAGGTACATGTAGAAACATCAGCAGAAGTGTGTTGGAAAGAGTCAGGCCTGGAGTCTTGGCTCCGGCAATTATAGCTGCGTGACCTTGGATATATTATTTCACCTCTGCGCCTTCTTTGGTGATGTTATCGGGCTTTTCTCAGGGAGTGAAGATTAACTGCATGCAAACGAGCCTCAGAGCTGGGTCTGGCATGCAGTGAGTACCGAGCACACGCTTGGTATTATCATGGATCTGAGTAAGATCGCAGAGGACGTGGATTCCATCAAGCCTGGCTTGGGAAGATGTGTAGGGTTTCAAAGAAATTCCAGAGAGCAGGAGCAGGATGAGAAAGCCATGGAGGTGAGAACAAATCGGGTGATTTATCTGGAACAGATGGGACGAGGGTGGGAGAAAGCACACTTTCAGGAGGTCTGGGACTCAGCCGGCTTTCAGCACTGTGCTGTTGGGTAAGGCTGTGATAATCTAAGCTTCGTGCTGACAGGCCGGTGGCCTTCCAAGCCCATGGTGCATTTCTTACTCGTGTGACAGCCTGACTGAGCTCCACTGTGACCTGCTCCACGGCCACCGGAGTCTATCCCTGATCTGTAAATTGCTGGGATATTTTTCTCTCTTGCAACTGAGACAAAGAGACATGGAAAACCATAACTGGGAATTAAGGCAACGCGGGCTATTTCTTCTTTTCTGTTTTTCTTTTTTCTTTTTTCTTGTCT